CGCAGAGCTATTGAAGGAGACTTCCCCGCTGTTAGAATACACTCATCAGCACCTTCGGCTAAATCCAATGGAACTGATTGAGCTAAAATTTTCCAACAAGCTGGTTGTACAGAAGTCGATCAAGAGATTGACTTCTGTACAACCAGCCTGCCCATAGATGGATTAAAATTTGTCTGGTCCCTGCGGAACCATCTGAATTTCGATCCATCTATAGCAGGCTTAAGTCATTTTGGCAAGCTTTGGACAAACCTGAGCTATCACCTTGATTTCCTGCCTCTTCCTTTTTGATCATTATTAAACCCACCTCCACCAATTTTAAATTGATATCAACATTTTCCTTGAATCATATCCCTCAAACTCCTATGTTGCCATTCTTTATACTCATATGTTGTCACTTCTGCATTTAATAAAGTTTAGCAGGATTTAAAGTGGTATTTAAGCCATTTTTAAAAAAAAAAACAACAGATAGGCAGGGTTTTTATAACCTTAGCGATCTCTTCTGTCATATATGTCTCCTGCTGGCTGTCAGCAGTAATGTGATCTAAGCCACAAACGTGCAGCTCAGACCATGTTTATGGCACCTGGTCCATACATTAGATTTGTGTTATTAAAGTGGTTGGTAAGGCTGAAGAATTTTTACCTTCCTGCATTCTATGCAAGAAGATAAAAAACCTTCTCTCTGCAGCATCCCCCCCAGGCCCCGCTAATACTCACCTAAGCCCCCTGTCAATCCAGCAATGGTCACTGGTGTCTCGGCTATCCAGGGACTCCCTCTCCACATTGACTGAGAAAGCAGCATGAGCGATTGGCTCCTGCTGCTATCAATCACAGCCAGTGAGTCAATGAGAAGAGAGAGGGTGTAAATGGACACACGGAGCAGCAGCTGCGGAGTGCGCATGCTTGGGTGCTCCCATAGCAAGCTGCTTGCTGTGGTGGCACCTGATAGGAGGGTGAGACCAGGAGCGCCGGCAGGGGACTGGAGAAGAGGAGCATCCAGGCTGCTTTGTGCAAAACCAGTGCACACAACAGCTAAGTATAGACATTTTGTTGTGTGTTTTTTTTTTTTTTTTTTTTTTTTTTTTTTTTTTTAAGCCTTTTGAAACACTTTAATGTGACTTCCATGAGCATGCATAGAAGTGAAGTCATCATGGCCCGGCCATTCAAGTGGCCACAAAGACAGAACCCAAAAGGAAGACCGGGTAATGATGGAAGCACCGGGACCTGCAGGATTGATGACAGGTGCAGCGCTGGAGGGCTTTGTTTGGCAGGTAAGTCTGTCATTAGGGGCTAGTATGCGGTGCACACTAACACATTATGGCATACTTTTTTTTTGTGGACTTTAATAACGCTTTAAGATGTTTCTGTTGTAATCTCCTCAAACCAAGCCATTCACAGACAGATCTGACCTACTGACATTTCTAACCACTACTATTAAGATCTATAACCAGGATTTTTGGCATAACAAAGGATAGTGATATTACACTGCTGGTGTCTGGGAAACCTTGAGCCTGGGTTCACACTTGATGCGGTGCAGATTTCACAGGGTTTTCTGTGTGAATGCCGTACCACATCACAATCATACCCCGTTCATGCGAACCGCTGCAGGTGTGTATGCTAAGTTAACAACTCTTCGAAATTGGTCTGCAAAACATGGTGCGATGTGCAGAATCGGATTGCATGTGTGTGAATAACCATGTGATCCGATTCCAGTGCGGACCAAAAAAAGGGTCCTGCACCTTTTTGGTGCAATTGGAGTCATACAAAATGTATGGCTCCAATCGCACCGCACACAATTTGCATGTGATTTGCACAGGAATGCGGTGCGGTTCCTGTGCGAATCACATTCGATATACCGCACCGCACAAGTGTGAACCTAGGCTTAACCCCTTCATGCTGGCCGCACGCAAATGTGCAGCCTCCCAGCGTCTGGGCCTAGATGCCAAGCGGCCGCACATTTGCGTTCATGTAACGAAAAACATAAGTGCTGAGAGTGTGCGCCCTGCACGCTCCCATCACACATGTGAGGTACTCACAGAAAGGTTCCGGTCCGCTCTTTCGATCGGGACCTTTCCTGATCATGTGACCAGCCGTGACATCACGGCGGCCACATGACACTAAGCCACGCCCCGTCCCACCCACCTCCCGGCACAGGAACTCCTCTTCATGCCGGGACGATCCAGCGTGAAGGGCTTAATAATCCTACACCGGATCCAACTTTTGCTGTGACAGATCACAAATGAATTGCATTCACTTGTTCTATAAAAAAATGAATTTTGTTTTAACTCGTGTTTTGTTTTTTTTTCTGCATATTTTCTGCTCTTGGAACTAATATCATCTCTTCATTCTTAGCAGATACTTTGGTGAATAAACAAATGGAAAATGGGTGACTAGGTACCCTATATGTCTCTATCAGGCTTTGAACTTGGCAGCAGTTTCCCTGCTTCTGTGGAGGAGACATTATCCAGAGATGTCCTGGAACAATGCAATGAGGCAGCCAAACCTTCAAGCATCTTAACCTAAACTGACTGAACAAATTGTGCCGCAAGGAATACTGTCAGTGTTAGATCACGCTAAAGGCTTTTTAATGCTTACTAGTGAAGCTGATAAGGGATCTTAATAAATTAGCAGCTATTGTATTGTTATCTTGACACTACTGTAAGTACCATATCATCATAACACATAGTACCGTATCATAACTAAAATAAGTACAACAAGCCCTTTGTTATCTATATTCGTTTTGTATTTCAGACACAAATTACAGCCATAATTACCAGGATACTGCTCTTTTAAATTAGCCTCAATGAATTAAAGTGGTCGTAAGCCCTTATATATATCCAGTGAAGTGACTGGCCCCAAGTGATATTATTATTATACAGGAATTATATAGCGCCAACAGTTTGCAGAGCGCTTCACAATATAACGGGAGACAATACAGTTCTATACAAGGAAGTTAGGAGGGGCCTGCTCCTTGGAGCTTACTATCTAAGATATACCGAGATGAAACAAATCATCTTACCTGTTTATCTGCCGTCTTCTCTTCTTTACATCCATTCAAAGTCCTGAATTTATACAGCTTGTTTGAGCTGTCAGAAAACAGGGGAGCTGAAGTTACACACTGCAGAGCTAAGTCAAAAGAGCTCTAAGAACTGATTGGAAGGAAGAGACATACTCTCCTTCACACTGCACACAAGAACAGATCTGAGTCTGTCAATCTTTTTTTTCTTAGTGTTAGGAAAACTTGTCAGAAGCAATTTATGCTGATAGCAGAGGAACAAAGCAGCAGATAGAAATGGCACTATGGGGTTGATTTACTAAAACGGGAGTGTGCAAAATCTGGTGCAGCTGTGCATGGGAGCCAATCAGCTTCTAACTTCAGCTTCTTCAATTAAGCTTTGACAATAAAACCTGGAACTGATTGGTTTATATGCAGAACTGCACCAGATTTTACACTCTCCAGTTTTAGTAAATCAACCCCTTAGTGCTCTTTATTGAGATCAGTACACACTATAGTAGGATATACTTTGTTCATATTTTATGTCAGAAGTTTACAACCACCTAAAAGTAGCATCTGCCACTGCTATATTTTAGTGACCGTTAAAGTGTTTCTAAACGTTAATTTTTTTTATTTTTGAACAATAAAAAACATGTCTATACTTACCTGCTGTGTACAGTGGTTTTGCATAGAGCAGCCTGGATCCTCCTATTCTCAGGTCCCCCGCAGGCTGTCCTGGCCCCTCCCTCCTGTCGTGTGCCCCCACAGCAAGTAGCTTGCTATGGGGGCACCCGATGCTCTGTGTGTACATTCACATGGAGCCATGGCTTGGCCCCACCCCCCTCTCTCCCCTCATTGGCTGACTGGCTGTGATTGACAGTAGCTGTCTCAGCCAATGAGGAGGCGGAGACCTGGAACAGCCGAGGCTGTCATTTGCATGGCTGGATCGCGATGAGGCTCAGGTAAGTATTGAGGGGGCTGGGGGCACTGCTGCACACAGAAGGGCTTTTACCTTCATGCATAGAATACATGAAGGTAAAAAACCTTCAGCCTTTACAACCACTTTAGAAACACAAATCTAATGTACCACAGTTTACTGGTCCTTAGATATGACAGCTGTATTCGTTATCTCTTTTTATTAAGACTAGGTACATTTTCTGCAAGTACAGAAAATAAACATGTTGACCCTGTCAGAAACCTTATGTACCAGGGGCGGACTGACCATTTGGAAACTCGGGCACTGCCCTGCCGAGGGCCTGGAGTCAGCAGTTGGGGGCCCCATGAGATGCCCCTGGTACTTTTTTTTTTTTTCATTGGCTTTTTTGAGTTTGGGCAAAGACACGGACCCCATGATCCCCTGGGGTCAGTAGGGTGCCCCATGAGATGCCCCTGGTACCTTTTTTTTCATAGGCTTTTTTGAGTTTGGGCAAGGACACAGTGGCCCCATGATCCCCTATTGCCCGGGGGCCCCATGAGTTGTCAGTCCGCCCCTATTATGTACTTATAACTTCCTGTGTACCGAACTGAAATCTCAACAATATTATCAGCTTCCTCAGCTACATTCTGTGAACAACAGAGCACTAGCCCTCTATGTAATGGAGATGAGGAGGAGGTGTTTTGTAGTCCATACTGGGAGAGCAGCCTTGAGTGACAACCTGGCTTTGCCATAGATACAATACAATAAGTACTGTTATTATTAGAATCACAAGGTGAAAATAAAGGGAATTTATTTAGGTTACCTATCTCTAGAAAACTGGTAAGCTGCAATATATTACATTTTAATTCTTTGACTTTAGATATGCCTTAAAGCAGAATATACCCCAAAACAAAAATTATTATATAGCAGCTTACCAATTCTTAGATGTGGTGGCTGCATTAGTTTTCTTTTTTGTTTTTTTTTTTTTCCATTTATTTTACACTGGTGATCCGGCTAGTAAGTATAATGGCACCGACCCCAGACTGCACTTGGGTACTTCCATTTAGAATACCGCTTCCCTGTCTGATTACCGACAACAGGCACCACAGCCGACCATACAAGACTAGACAACACCAGTCTTGAAGTAAACCAGGAGGTAGACTAGTTTATTTTAACACAGATACAAGATATATACACTCAAGGGAACAATCCCCCCTCCCTGCATAATGACACAGGGTGGGGCAATCTACATTTAGTAACAAGAGTCAGTCCCATGGAGAGGTGGGGCTGCTGGAGACACCCCCCTCCAAGTCAATACACATAAACACATACATCCCATAATAGTTTGCTCCCAAGCCAGACACACAATAGAACAATGGGATGCAACCACATAACATCAAACAATCAACAACCCCCCACCCCATTATTAGGACAGATCACCCTGTACCCTAACAGGCACAGGATGATTTACACATAAGAGGGATACGGAGAGCTGAGACATGGGTCTCCCCAACTCTCCAAAGTGAGCAGGGTTCCATGGGCTCCCAACCCAATATGACTCTCATCACATATCTTCCCTTTCGGCAGGGGACTAACACAGGAGGAGACCCCAGATGGGTTGTCTCCGAAGTTAATCTGTACTTCCAGTCCCCCAATGTCAGCACCCACACAGTACCCCAAGCAAATGGTCCCACACAGAGCATTACTAACCCAGCCAACCTCTGCCTCTCTCGTAGAACATACCTGCCACTGGGGAGAGGTACGGACTGGTCTTTCTCCCTGAAGTCCTGTCATCCGCTGGAGAGAAGATAGGGTGGCTGGGCTGACTCCAACATGCTGTTGGGGATCTGGGCCGACTGCCCAGCATCCCTGGGGTATCCAGGTGGTGACTGTAGTCTCATCCACTTTGACTTGATGGACATCCCTCAGTGTTCTCAAAGCAAGGTTGACATCCTCCTGTCCCAATGCCAGACCCTTTTCTGGGGTTGTTTCAGTGGAGACCGAAGTCTCAGCCACGGACATCAGCTCAAGCTGAAGTTGTGAAGTGCTGATTGCATCCTCTTCCTGTAGCTCCTGTGGTGCTGATTGTTGTGGGCAGAGGTTAACAATGCCATGCCCTGATGCCAGCTCTTCTGCTGGAGGCACACTGACTGGTTCCTCCTCAGCAGAAAAGTCAATCAAATCCCCAGTGTCTGGAACTGGCGTCTGGGGATAGGGGTTCACCATCTCCTGACCGTGGAACCCAGAAGATGTTACCAGTGCTGGGTAGAGGCTAGCAGAGCTCGGCCCTTTTTGTCAGCACTTCAGGTTTGGGGACATCAGTCTCTGGAATGTCCACTGCCGATTCTTAGGCATGCTGCTGAACATGTTTTAGCAGTTGTCCGTATGCCCTTTTCAGATGCTGTTCTTTTATCAGCAGGTATTCCAGGTCTGGTTCAAGCTCTGAGACCCCTGTGAGACCGAACATAGCCTCTCTGTCTTCTTGCAGGTCCTCAAGGGTAGGTTCTCCTTCATCGCCAAACACAAAATGATCTGTAAGGCTCTCCCACAGCAATCCAGGGCCACAAAAGTCATATCCCTCCAGAGAGCATTCTGTTGTCACCCCTAAATATTTCTGCTCCGCGTGCCATTGCAGAGTCCGATATCGGTTGTCCAGCTCTATCTCCTGCTGGACCAGCCTGTCCAACTCAGTCACCCATTGCCCCTAGGGTCATTTTCCCAGGAATGGCATCCGTAACTTCCGTTGGTCCTGGGCCTGTTCCCCTGGGGTTGGATAGCACTTGCCCTTGTCCATACCATTAACCTGGAGGGCTCCACTCCAAAGCACCACCGAATCTGCTGCTGCCTGAGCTCTAGGTACTCATCCACAGACACAGTCCTGGGGTATGTTGTAAGAACAATCCACAGCAGCCCCGGAACTCTGATGCCAGGTCCATATCTTCACTGGGGTGACCGATGTCTACTTTCCTGATCTTGAATCCCAGTGGTGGTTTGGACGTGTTCACAGCCAGGAAACACAATCTCACCACCTGCCACCAATGTAACGGCACCGACCCCAGACTGCGCTTGGGTACTTCCGTTAGAATACCGCTTCCCCGTCTGAACACCGACAACAGGCACCACAGCCGACCAAACAAGAATAGACGACACCAGTCTTGAAGTAAACCAGGAGGTAGACTAGTTTATTTTAACACAGATACAAGATATATACACTCAAGGGGACAATCCCCCCTCTCTGCATAATGACACAGGGCGGGGCAATCTACATTTAGTAACAAGAGACAGTCCCATCGGGAGGGAGGGCTGCTGGAGACACCCCCCCCCCCCCCAAGCCAATACACATAAACACATACATCCCATAATAGTTTGCTTCAAAGCCAGACACACAATAGAACAATGGGATGCATCCACATAACATAAAACAATCAACAACCCCCTAACCCAATATTAGGACAGATCACCCTGTACCCCTAACAGGCACAGGGTGATTTACACATAAGAGGGATATGGGAAGCTGAGACGGGTCTCCCCACCTCTCCAAAGTGAGCTGGGTTCCATGGGCCCCCCAGCCAAAGTGACTCTCATCACAGTAAGTCTATTATTTTTCAACTTACTTTAACAGACAAAGCTGTCCACCAAAAGTGGCTGTTATAGTGTTGTGACAAATCACCACTTACAGGGGTGTTTACCATAGTTACTTTTTGTTAACTTGTAAAACCTTTACCCAAAAAGAAAAAACTTGTTTTAGCTGCTTAAAAAGTTAGCGGACGTTTGGCTATAAATCAGTAGCTATATCCATCTAAATTTGCTAGTACATCCAAGATTACCCTCTCGACAGACTGACAATTCTACTGTCCAAAGATGTTTCCAATGCTCCTCCATCCAGCATGGAGACACCCTAAGATACGAAGTGTGCTGCTAGCTGAATCACCAGGTCAAAACACTGAAAAAAAGTCTAAAAAAGAAAATTAATGCAATTTCCACATTTAATGATTGGTAAGCTGCAATATATTCAATTGTTTTTAGATTTAATATTACTTTAAGGTGCTCATACACAAAATAATATTGGTTTATTTATATGCTTTGGGCAGTAGTCAATGAGATCATAAGAACCAACTGCACAGTATGATCTCATAACATCATTATGTGATTGCAAAAAGCTAAATATGTTAGTCTTTCCATTGAAAACAGTGGTGTTTTGTCATATGAAAACTGAACTGAAATTAAAGAGTATGTAAACCGAAAATTCCATCTTCCTGATATGTGCCTGCTCTACAATGTACTTGTATGAAAAATGATCCTGTTCTCTTTGTATTGCTTCCTTTGTGGTAAATCCCTGGTGTTCATGTCACTCCCTCTGCATTCCTATTGAAAACTGACCACACTAAGCATGAAAGCACAATGTGATCAGGTTGCTAGCTGTGCTGCTGTCCTCCAATGTTCAGATTTCTGCTACCCCCCCCCCCCCCCCTGCCCTTGGCATGGCCTTTTACTTTGAAGATCAATGTGCTGCTGTTTCTCCTCCCTGAGCTCTTTATGCAGCTAAGAACAGAGGAAATGTGATCACTTATAAAAAGGGGAAAAGAGGTGTTTATAATGTTTTTATATATCTATACACAAATGTTTTGCATTTAATTTCTATTTTAAACTGAATGTGTTGTTTTACATAGTGAGGGTTCACATATACTATAAATAAAACTGCACCACTAGACATCAAACATAGCAATCAGTAAGCATTTTTAAATAATAATACTAAGCAGCATAATTAAATTTGAATCTTTTATATATTATAGATTTTCATTGAGCTCATGCTTAAGAGAGGTGTACAGCTTTTGGACAGCACAAGTATTTTCAACCCAATACTGTGTTGAAACATTGGAGGGCATTGAGATGGCAAGCATTTTATATCCATCTATATGGTAAACCCTTGTGTTTTTTTTTTTTAAACAGTACAGTAACTACAATAACAAATTGTATATATGAAATTAATTGGCATTACTATGTATGTGCATATAGAAATATACATTTCAATATATTACATTTGATATCCATACACATAGATATGTTATTTAAATTTAAAAAAAAAAACGGATAAATCATGTATATGTTTTTAGTGGCAGTGCTGACCTCTATATAAATGCATGTGAACACTTGTTATATTTTCCAGCTACATTGGTACTAACTTCCTGAATCAGTGTTACATGCTGCCTCTGTCTATCCGCTGTTCAGGGAATGTCACTACTATCCACAATATGTTCATTAGAAAAAAAATGTAGAGAATGAAATGTTTAGAACCGACTTACCTCTTTTGAAGTTTTCTTTGTATTGAGAAAGGACAGGTAGTAAATTGTAAAGTTCTCCAAAATTACATTGTTCTTAGTGGAAGTCAGATTTAGTAAAGGCAGAAGATTTGTGAGAGCAGGATGCTGAGAGGAGGAGCAGGGAGAATAGGGCAGGACGTGATTTAACTCATTGTCTGTAAAACTGAGCTTCATAAAGGAATGCTTTCATGCAGATATCAAGTCATTTCCCGTCCTCATTCTATTTCCTACTATAAGGTACCTTATCAATCTTTAGAAATAAAGGTAACGGGCTGTGCATTGCTATCTAAAAAAAATGGTTTATGAAGATTTTAATAGATAATGGGAAGTAATAACATAAGCATTTGAATTTAGTCAAGATGAACAAGTTGATGATAATGATGTCTAATAAGCCCCGTATTGAGTGAAGAGAATATTGTAAGGTATTGAATCCAGTGCCACCCTCTTTTTTCCAAACTGAGCAAGTCAGCGACAATACAATCATACAATCCATTTGAAACCTTTTTGTCTGTAGTGGCTGGGCGGATAACTGACACATTTCATATGACCTCAACTACTGCTTAGGCAGATCGGGTCTAATAAATACAATTTAGTAAGGTCTGAAAATCCTTGATGACTTCTAAGTACTTCTGGTTGTAATGCAGACCGTAAACCTCCATTAAGCTAGGGCCTACTATTAACTCCCATAAATAGTCTAGAAAACCAGTTCTGCACCTTCTTCCCCCAGTCCTGCCTCCTGGCTACAGTGGGCGAGGAATGTTCTCCCCACACCTGTTGTCACAATTTGAAAACAGTGCAGCCGTGCAGGGCTCTGCCCAAACAGCTGCATCACTCATTCACAGTTTCCTGTGAATACATAGACTACAACTACTGTGAGCCATTGCAGCTGACACCTTGTAGTTCTCAATGAACTACATGGGCACTGGTGAGCACTCTTAGTTCATTGACCTACCCGTTTCCAAGTAACTGCCTGCCCATACAAAGTACGGGCAGACCGCTATCCTGACAGTCTGAAGTAGCCTCCCACATGGAAGAAAAATATATTTGAAATATATTTTAAAAATATTCTTCCCAAATATATTGACATATATTTGAAATACTACAATTTTAGCCGTATTCAATATATTTCAAAATATATTTCAATATATATAGGTATACTGCATGTTGAAATGCGTTCTTTATATATTACAAAATATATGAAAAATATTTTTTTTAAATATATATTTTTAAATATATTCTTCAGATTATTTTACATATAAAAAGGCATTTCAACATATATTTTTACATATATTTGTAAATGCATTCCAAAAATGTAGATTAAATGTACTTTTAAAGACATACAGCATATTTGAAAATGTATTTTTAAAAATATGTTTCATATATTTTGTAATAAAAACACATTTCAACATACAATATATATATATATATATATATATATGTATTTATTTATTGAAATATATATTGAATACGGCCAAAATTGTAGTATTTCAAAAATGTCAATATATTTGGGAAGAATATTTTAAAAATATATTTAAAATATATTTTTCTTCCATGTGGGCTGATCTGCTGATTTACAATGCTCTGCAGTCTTCTAAAAAAAATAAAATAAATGCTCATTATTTACCTGCAAAAAAAATGTGCATTTATTTTTTTTAAGTAAACCTAGCCTTTAAACAATACACATTCCTAGTCTGTTTTTTTTCAACTTGAGGTCGAACTGCCAAGGGCCAAAATCTTAATATTCATTCCTGCTTTGATAAAGCTACTTTAATAACAGCCATTTACACAAATGTATAAGTGAATTACAATCTGTTTGATACCACTCAGGCCTATGCCATAATACACAGCAGAAGAGTTAGCCCCATCAAATCTCCTGAAGAGTTTACACATGAAATCTATTAATTTTTTTTTTTTTTCCTATGTCTATGAGAAAATACTGATTTCAAGCTATGTAATAATATGGTGGTTTTTGGATTGTAAAATACAGTCATATGAAATTATGAATGCTTTTAGAAATCTTGCTTAGAGAGAATCTGGTGAAAAGTCATAAATAATACAGCCCCCCCTACCTCCCACCCCTCTTTATAGTTCTTTCTATTGGGTAAGGTGAGCTCAGTGACGCCCTGTAGAGCAAGGGTGACCAACCTACGGCCCAAGATAGCTATGAATGCGGCCCAATGCAAAACCGTAAACTATCTTAAAAATGTTGATTTTTTTTTATTTTTTTTATTTTTTTTAAATGTTAATTTTTTTCATAAAAATGTGTGAACACATGCGGCCGAAGAAAAAATTGACCGTGTCTCTTTACTGGACTTTTATAAGTTTTATCTTCCCAAAGAAAAATATACCACTCTTCCCAATCATGCTTTATTCATGTCATCAGTTTTTGGCAGCACCCATATTTGTGAGCAACTATTTTCAAGGATGAAGCACACAAAGGACAACATTACAACCAAAAATATCTGATGAGCACCTTGAGGATTCATTGAGAATTGCTCCTACATCCATTTATTATTATTGTACATGATTTATATAGCGCGCAACAGTTTTCACAGCTCTTCAAAATGAAGGTAGACATTACAGTTACAATACAATTTGGTACAAGAAGAAACAGACGTTCCTGCTCGTTAGAGCTTACAATCTAAGAGGAAGAGTTGAGTGATACAAAAGGTAATAGCTGTGGGGGATGAGCTGATGGAGGAAATAAAAGGCAGTTTACTAGTTAGAAGCAGGATAGGCTTCTTTAAAGAGAAGGGTTTTCACGGACAGTCTAAAGGTGGATAAATTAGGAGATAGTGTGGCAGATTGGGGTAGGCAGTTCCATAGGATGGGAGAAGCTCGGGAAAAGTCCTGAAGGCGAGCATGGGAGGAGATGACACGAGAACTAGCTATTGATGCACTAGTTTATTAAAACAGTGTCAAATATTGCACTACAAAAAAATGTATATTATATTAATATTTTACAGTATATTTATTGTAATATAATCCAATATCGCAATATAGGAATGCTACTAAACATTAATCCATCCATTTAATTTTAATTTCAAGATTTAAAATGAAAGATGAAGAGTAAGGAGTATAATGGAAAGTTTTTGAGTTTTAGAAGCCTAGACTAGTAACAGG